AGCAGAATTTTATGCAGGCATTTCAGATTACAGTTAGATAAGTTATTTTTTGATACATCAGTGCCTGACTGTGCTAATTCTGTGCAATTACTGTTACATATCTCACAAAAAGCTTGCATCAAGTATGAAGCTTTATTTCCTTGGTTATGTATTATTTATAGAGTACCATGAAGGCACTTGGCACTCTCTGCAGAACAAGTAAAACTCTGAGTGCTGTCCCTGGAGGCCTTGTACCCTAGCGTGTTCTCATGAAATATTCTGAAAGCAGACAGAGAGGGAATGAGGAATCGTTATCCACGGAGGGTTGGTTCCTGAGCCTGTGGGGAACCTGGAAAGTCTGGGAAGCTCCATGTGCTGCATTTCTTCTGTTTTCTTCCATCATAACCCTGAGTTTTGTCTGTGTTGAAAAAATACAGAGGATTTGACCTATAAGCTGCATAGGTCGTAGGGACATAGCGACTGGAAGAGGCACAGCCATTAAGTCCCTCTGCATTCACAGGCAATCATTTCTCCAAAGAGTCCTGAAATGTGTCCAGTCCTTTATGCATGCCACAGCCTCAAAGCACCTTGTAAGAAACCAAACCAAAAACACCTGACACCGTGACACAGGTAAAAATCAGGGGAGATCAGAGCATCATCAATGCCCTGCTACTGCAGTGGTAGAGACATTACTGAACATATGTTTAGGGGATCCCAAAAAGAGGACCAGGCCCCACACTGCAATGGAAAGCAGAAGCCCCTACAATCCTTGCCAGATTTTCTTCCTGGCCTGTCTGGCGGGCAGTTTGACTCTGAGTGGAAGTGCAAGGTCCTTAAGAGGTTTCCAAGTACTGGCAGGAGCATCAGTGTACCCCAGGCTTAACTTCCACCAGTAGCTGTGGCCAGTGGCTGGGGTCACAGGGGGAAACCTTGAGGAATTCATCTGGGGCACCAAGGCTTGCGCACTGAGACCTTCCATCTTTGCGCAGAAGCTAGGTGACCAGGATGTTCTCCCCATTCAGGCCAGCGTGTTTGTTCACGTGCTTTTACCTAGAACATCAAACTCTTTTAGATGCAGCTCTCTTTTTCCTCTGGAAGGGTTTTTCACGCTCTCCCTCCCCAGTTTAGCCAAACACCACTGCTGTTGCGTTTTGAAATCGCTCTTTATTTGTCCTTCTTTGTCCCAGGGCACTCCATGCCTCCACCTGCTATCCTTGCAGCTTGCACTCCTTTGTGTCTTCACCACTTTGACTTACCAGGTTGCCTAGACCTCTGCCAATTAGACTCCGCTTGCTAACGTGATTAATCTGTATCAAACGCAAGAACTGAACCTACTCAGAGTCCTTGCATCTATGTAGAAATCATGTTTGAAAATATTTCTTGCCTGATAAATCTTCCCTTGAAATGGCTACAGTAGAAATATTCATTCCTGCAGCTAGTCCCAGTTCAAGAAGAATGTGAGAGCTGTTTTCCCCTTCCCTTTGTGAACTGCATGAATGAACACCCTGTAACAGTATTTGGGGGCACCGTGGAATGAGGCAATGTGTTTATTTGTGTCATTCTTGCCGTGCACATTTTCAACCAAACCAGGGAAATTCAATCCCTGAATAGTCATTTGAACTGAATCATACTTCAGCCTTGGAAAAGTTGATCTATAAAGTTGATCTATCATAAGATTTTGCTGCCTGGATGTAAAAGCAACCACAGCCCAGGCTGCTTATTTCAAATGCTAACAGGATGTCAGAAGGCTTTGGGCCCTTTTCAGTCACGCTTTGAGGGCACTATTTTCTCCCTCTCAGAGCTGGGGAAAACTTCGTCCTTAGTGATTTGCACAGGACAGTTTAGATCGGGATAGTCCTCGGGGAGGGGGTTGGACTAGTTGGCCTCCCAGTGTCCCTACTTCTTTACGATTCTCCAGCCCGACTCACTCCTGTAATCCCATTGATTTCAGTGGGGCTGCTAGTGATCATGCCATAATCACACAAGTCAGGGTTGCGGGCTTAGGTACTGAAGTCAAGTCTCTCTGAACTTGATTCAAAGCTCGATGGAGTCACTGACTTCATTAGCTTTGCTTTGAGCCTCCTGTGATCATCTGCTTTACAGCCACACAGCTCCCTGGGGCATTATACTGTCACTGGCTCCACTGTGCACTGCTCTCGCTCCAGACACAGAGACAGCAGAACGGGTGTTAGTGCTGCTAGGTGAATCATTCATGCCCCTTGCCTTTTCAAGCACTGTTTCTCACTGAGGTTGGCAAGCAAAGAGCAGCTATTCCACCTCCCCAACCTGACACACCTCCTCCAAACCAAGATGTCTCTGTCACGCCAGGCTGCTCAGAGGGGCAGAGCATACTGCATTAATTCCACCTTTTTTCCATCACACGGTTTTTGGCAAACAGCTGTGGATGCTACTAGCTAAATGTTTGGGAACTCCTCCTACATTCACTTCGTAATGGCATGCCGCAAGGTAGTTTATGGGCCAGCTAGAACAAAACGCTGGTAAAACTATAAATACAGGTGCCAAGTTTGTTCGTTCCTCTAAAGATGATGTCATTGCCTTGAAAATGACCTGCAAAGCTAAAATGAAAATCGCAGATGTATGCTTTGAAGGAAACACGCATTGTGTTTTAGTTCACAAACACAGGTTTGAGAGGCCGGGATGGGAGTGGTTATATGTTGCCATTGAACATAGAGATAAGTTTCGATTATTTTTTGAAATTATTGTCTCTGGAGTGGAGGTTCTTACTGGTTTCCTGAATTCACCTCTAAAGGTTTAAACCAGAAATCACGTTACAAGCACTGAGGTACAGAGGGCCTGATTTCAAAATGCCTTGCAGGTGCCGAAGTGTCATAATCAGCCGTACAAAGCACATATGAAACCAGTGCAGTGACAGTTTCCACCAGGTTTTGGATTCACTTTGCTCAAATCTGTGGCCAGTCAGGCCCTATGGTTACCTCTGATGTCACCAAATGATACAGTCTGGCTACCTTTAGCATTTCATGGAGCCTGAAGAGAATTATTTGTAAAAATCACCGAATTTATTTCCCTACTCAATTTCTACCTCTGCCTGGTTAGCAGAGAAATTTAGCACATAAATCTGGGATTAATTCAGTTTTCATTAGCTTTGTGGTTCACTTAAGAAGGCTTTGCTAGCATATATTTTCCGCTGCATATATTAAAATGCACAGTACGCTATTAATGTCCTATGTTTTTGCTAAATTACAACCAGAAGACTAACTATGTTACAATAATTGGCTGCGCATTATTTTCCGAGCTGATCTGAGCTCTGTGACAAACAGAACCATAAATTAACACAAAACAAGATCCCTTCTTCATGCTGCCATGTAACAAGCAGTCCAAGTAGGAGAGGCACGTGGCCTGCAATTTGGGCATCTCTGTAAAGCAATTCCAACCAATACAGCACTGTGGTTGTATGTTATATTATGCTCCATTATAATGAAGGAAGGAGCCCATTGGGGTCCTCTCTGGTCCTAGAGCGTCTTCTTCATGGTACCAAGGAAACACACCCCCTCCCAAGAGATTGCACGTGAGTGAAATGCAACACAGCTACTAGTGGAAATACTGTATTAAGAAACTGAAATCAGGTCAAAATCATCCTCAACAGATGGTTTTTCCTATCAAAGTGGTTCATTCACATAAATGCGGATTGTCCTGTACAGAGCGGGTTTACCTGTGTCATAGTAGGTGCTTAGGCCCTGCCTAAGCTCTGTCAGACCCTGGTTTGGTGAAGACATAGCAGAACAATGGATTGTGGCTTATCATAGCTGCTACGGGACCTCCGCTGCTTTGCCTCCACCGAATCTCTTTCTGGTCTCTTTGAAGCCAATGTAAAACGTAATCTTCACCCATTAGGCTGTGGAGGAAGTGGTGTTTCACCAGATGGTTTTAAGCAGGTCTTAAGTACTGTGCTTGCCTGGTCCTCTGCACAAAGATGGATTTCACCATCTCATAGTTTGGATGTATTCAGTCTGGGGGCCTTGATTCAGCAAACTATTTCAGCATAACTTCGAGCCCGTGAATAGTCCTCCTGTCCTCAATGGCATTTGTAGGCTTAAATTTAGTCACACACTTAAGTATATTGTTGAATTAGGGGTGAGAAAAAATCATCCTGTATATTGATAATAGCATACTTGCTATAAAGCCTGTTCCTGTCCCTAGGTTAGGTCCTTTTAGGGAATACTTTGCAGTTCCAGATAATTCTGGTTAAATAAACACTATTATTAGTGGCGATCATGTTGAGCGAGAAAGTAATTCTGTCAAAATAAAAGGACACAGATTATTAGATGTACTTACTGCTGAAGAGGCTATTTTCTGCCAAGGTGACTGCACTTATTTTCCCAAAAGTGGGATAAAGCACCTGAATATCTAACCAGATAAAATGGACAAGACTGTCTTCATGCAACTGTGTTTCCTTTCCTATGATAGGGAGAATAAGATGAGATTTGCCTTTTCTAATGTGTTCCCTTCAATATATGTTAAGGAATATTAATGAAGAGCCAATGTTCACAGAACATAGCTCATCCTGTAGGAGATAAATTTAATGATCCCATTGCATTATGTTCTGGAAATTCTGTGCACAGTTCTCAGTTATTTGTTTTGCGTATTGTATCTTTTTATATAAATCACTGCATTGGTCCCTGAAAGTTCATGATAGGTGAAGTAAATAGTAATCACATGTGTACCTAGTATTATTTATCTAAGTGTCATGGGGAACTTTGAAAAATCAATTTATTAATTAATAGAATACATGGTAAAGTATTGTATTGGAAAAATATATATAAGGAAATGTCTTTAGTCACTGAGGGCACAAACGGAAGTTACATCTGTCGCATGATTGGCCACTTGAAAGTGCTGTATAGCTGCACCTTTACAGAAGTGCAGGGCTGCAGAGCACTTTAAAAGTGCCTGATCACGTAACAGTCTGAACCCTCATTACTTGAGGGTTCAGATGAAGGCACTCCGAAGCTGAGCGCCTTCATTAACTTCTGTCAGTGTGTACGGGGAGCAGGGCTAGGTTGATGTAGCCTGGTCTCGCCTCCAGTACTATCTTCAGAGTAGGAGGGGGAGAAGGGAGGGGAGGGAGCTCTGTCTGGGGTTTGCCCATTCACCATCTCATAGTTTGGATGTATTCAGTCTGGGGGCCTTGATTCAGCAAACTACTTCAGCATAACTTCAAGCCCGTGAATAGTCCTCCTGTCCTCAGTGGAATTTGTAGGCTTAAATTTAGTCACACACTTAAGTATATTGTTGAATTAGGGGTGCGAAAAATTCATCCTGTATATTGATAATAGCATACTTGCTATAAAGCCTGTTCCTGTCCCTAGGTTAGGTCCTTTTAGGGAATACTTTGCAGTTCCAGATAATTCTGGTTAAATAAACACTATTATTAGTGGCGATCATGTTGAGCGAGAAAGTAATTCTGTCAAAATAAAAGGACACAGATTATTAGATGTACTTACTGCTGAAGAGGCTATTTTCTGCCAAGGTGACTGCACTTATTTTCCCAAAAGTGGGATAAAGCACCTGAATACCTAACCAGATAAAATGGACAAGACTGTCTTCTTGCAACTGAGTTTCCTTTCCTATGATAGAAAGAATAAGATGAGATTTGCCTTTTCTAATGTGTTCCCTTCAATATATGTTAAGGAATATTAATGAAGAGCCAATGTTCATGGAACATAGCTCATCCTGTAGGAGATAAATTTAATGATCCCATTGCATTATGTTCTGGAAATTCTATGCACAGTTCTCAGTTATTTGTTTTGCGTATTGTATCTTTTTATATAAATCACTGCATTGGTCCCTGAAAGTTCATGATAGGTGAAGTAAATAGTAATCACATGTGTACCTAGTATTATTTATCTAAGTGTCATGGGAAACTTTGAAAAATCAATTTATTAATTAATAGAATTCATGGTAAAGTATTGTATTGGAAAAACATATATAAGGAAACGTCTTTAGTCACCGAGGGCACAAACGGAAGTTACATCTGTTGCGTGATTGGCCACTTGAAAGTGCTCTATAGCTGCACCTTTACAGAAGTGCAGGGCTGCAGAGCACTTTGAGAGTGCCTGATCACATGACAGTCTGAACCCTCATTACTTGAGGGTTCAGATGAAGGCACTCCGAAGCTGAGCGCCTTCATTAACTTCTGTCAGTGTGTACGGGGAGCAGGGCTAGGTTGATGTAGCCTGGTCTCGCCTCCAGTACTATCTTCAGAGTAGGAGGGGGAGAAGGGAGGGGAGGGAGCTCTGTCTGGGGTTTGCCCA